ATGCGCTGCGCCGCCTTGATGGCCACAGAAAGCTCGGGGGTGCTCATGTCCTGAGGCAGGCGCACACACACGGGGGGGGCGCTGTCGGGTGGAGCGGGGGTGCAGGCAGGCAGGCTGGCGAGCGGGGGGCTCAGCGTAGCCTCCAGCAGGGGCGCGCCGCCACCACCAGCACCACTACCCACCCACCCCGCCCACCTGGTACCCCGTCAGCTTGGCCAGCATGGAGGGCCAGAAGGGGATGATGCCTCGCGAGCGGCGCTCCACATACAGCAGCGCCGCCGCAATCACGCTGGGGCGGCAGTTGAGGAAGGCCATGTCAGTGAGGCAGTCGGTGACCTGGCGGGGCGGGGCGGGGCGTGGGTGGTTGGGTGGGTGGCAGGCAGAGGGCAGGGATCGGGAGGCTGGGAGGCGGAGCGGCAGCCCGCTGCGCGCCCCAGCACCGCAGCAGCAGCAGTAGCAGCAGCAGCAGCAGCAGCAGCTGGGGCGCGGGCTTGCGGTGCCCGCTGCGGCCCCCTGCCCTGCCCGGCACACCCCGCCCCGCCAGCCCCGCCTCACCAGCTGCTGCGCGCGGCCCGCCATGGCGGCTCCGCTACGCGCGTCCATGTGGTGCGCCCCCATGCGCTCCAGGAAGAGCTTGAGGCAGCGCAGGGTGGAGATGGCGGCGGTGTCCTGGCTGAGCACCTGCCGCACATTCCACTCCATCTGCTCCACCGCGGCGCGCGGCAGGCCCGAGGCGGCGCCCACGTCGGCGTCGGCGGGCAGCGGCGGCAGGCCCGCGCCCGCGCCGTCCACCTGGCGCGCCGCGATCACCACGCACCCCACCGCCAGCAGGTCCAGCAGGTCTGGCGCCAGCTGCAGGCTGGTGGACATGACCCGGTCCATGAGCAGCACGCCGTCGTGGCCCGCCTCCTCCCGCACGCCCAGCCTGCATCGCGGCGGCAAGGCAGCAAGGGTAGCGTGTGGGTGTGTGTGAGTGTGTGTGTGCGTGTGTGGAGATGCGGGGGCGCGGGGACGGGAAACAGCCCAGGCTGGAGGGCGCTGGGCTGCGGCTGGCGGGCTGGCGGCCGCGGCGGGCACGGCGGGGCACGGCGTCGCTGCCTGCCTGCTGCCCACACGCGCCGCACCACAGGCACACGCCGCACCAGGCACACACACACACACCGCACCACAGGGCCGCACCTGGCTGCCACCTCGAGGCACTTGGCCACCAGCTCGTTGCGCCGCTGCAGGTAGGTGTAGCCCATGTTCTGCAGCGCCAGGCAGTGCGTCTTCTCAAAGTGCTGCACGGCGGCAAAGGCCTCGCTGCACCGCTGCTCCACGCTGGCCTGCAGGGGCGGGGGCGGCGCGGGAGCGGGCGCGGGGAGATCAGCAGCGGGGTCGGCGTGCGGCGCAACGAGCTTGTGGCAGGCAGCAGGGCTTCTGGCATGAAGCAGGCAGGCGGGCAGGCGGCAGGCGCAGGCGGGCTGGCATCTCACCTCCTTGGCACAGTCGGGGTCGTCCAGCATGGCGCTCACGCTGTGCACGCTGTCGCGGTCCTTCATCTGAACCCAGCACACACATACACACACAAGCGCCCCTCAGCATGCCCTCGCATCACACCTCGGCAGCACCGTCACATGCGGGCGGCCCGGCAGCCTGCCCATGCCGGCCATTGTCGCCGGGTGCCCCAGCCACCCGCCGCCGCGTTCCCGGCCTCCGCCCAGCCAGCCGCCCTCCGGCCAGCGGGGCTGCGCGGCGCACCGTGTTTGCCACGGCGGGCGTGATGTCTGTGCAGGGGAAGAAGGTGAAGAGGCGCGCCTCAAAGCCCTCCCCCAGCAGCCAGTCGCAGGCGTCGGGGCCCGCCGCCTCCAGCATGCCGCTGTACCCGCCGTCCACCACGGGCCTGCAGGGCGGGGAAAGGGCGGGGGCAGGCAGGGGGGACACGCCTTAGCCACCCCCACATGCCAGGCTAGCAGGGCAGCGGGCGGCTGGCGGGGAGCAGCCCAGGCGCAGCCCAGGCGCAGCCCATGCCGTCCCCAGGGGCAGGCCGGGCAGGGTGGAGGGCGGGCAGGCAGGCGCCCGCGTGGCGCGCCGCCGCGCGCCGGCCGCGCCACACCCTCCTCGCAGCTCCCCGCTTGCCGCCGGCGGCAGCGCACCTGAATGGCGCGCCCCACAGCGCCATGGCCGCCTGCACCGCCTCCTTCACCACCAGGTTGCCCTGCTCCTTGGCGCCCTTGCCGCGGTCCGTCACCACGCCCAGGCGCGCGGGCATGGCGGCGGGGCCGTGGCTGGCCAGCAGCGCGCGCAGCGACACGAGCCAGGCGTAGAGCGACAGCATGGCCACCCCCGCCGTCATGGCATGCAGGTTGACCTCGGCGCGCGCCAGCCCCGGCACCAGCTTGCCCTGGTGGAAGTGCCCCTCCTCCACAGCCACCCTGCAGCGGCGGGCAGGCGGGCGTGAGGGAGTGAGCATTGGTGTGGTGGGCGTGGTGTGCATCGTGTGCGTGGTGCGCTGCGGAGGGGGCGGCACGAGGAGGGGGCGGCGGCGGCGCCTGCACACACCTGAAGAGCTTGAGGGCGCGGCGCTGCACCCACACCACGCCCGTCTCCCACAGCGCGTCAATGATGGCGTTGTACACAATGGCGTCGGCGCGGCACCCCTGAGCCCTCATGCGCTCGTAGGCCTGTAGGGGAGGCGAGGCGGGAGCAGGGGCAGGGGTGGGCGCAGGGCTTGGTGGCGCAGGCAGCGGGGAGCGCAGGGCTCGGTGGCGCAGGCAGAATAGCGGGCGCGTGGGCGGCCGCGGGCGGCGCATGGCGCGGCGTGGGCGTGGGCGCGGCCGTGGGGCGGCGTGCGGCGCGCACCTCCAGCGCCAGCCTCCACTGCCCGCCCTTCTCAAAGGCGGAGATGAGGGCGGTGTAGGTGACGACGTCTGGGTGGCACCCCTGGCCCTGCATCTGCTCAAACACGTCGCTCGCCTTCTGCCACTGCGCGCCTGCGGCAGCGGCGAAGCCGGGGGGAGGGAGGGAGGGAGGGAGGCAGGCAGGCGGGCAGGCGGGCGGGTCAGGCGATAGCAGCAGGAGGTGAGGGCCACACATGCTGGTGCAAGGGCAAGGCAGGGCAAGGGGCTGGCTGGCTAGGCGTGTGCGCAGTGCGCCCAGCCCAGCTGCGCGCGGCGGCTGTCCAGCGGGGCGGGCGCTCTCACCCTGCGCCAGCGCCGTGATGAGGGAGTCGTAGTGTGACGGTGTTGGGGGTGC